CTTTAAGCCAAAAATCCACCGACAACTCTTCTTAGGTCAGACCTTTCAAGGTTTAATTATAAAATACAGAAAATCAATGTCCTAAAAAATCAAAGTTAAATTATGCCTGGTACGGCAACCTGTCAGCCATGAGAGAAAACAGTTTCATGAATATGAATTCTGTTTGATTTAGTGTAGCTACAACGTGATGAATACGCTAAACGTTTGGCTCAGAGCCACCGACAACTCTTCTTAGGTCAGACCTTTCAAGGTTTAATTATAAAATACAGAAAATCAATGTCCTAAAAAATCAAAGTTAAATTATGCCTGGTACGGCAACCTGTCAGCCATGAGAGAAAACAGTTTCATGAATATGAATTCTGTTTGATTTAGTGTAGCTACAACGTGATGAATACGCTAAACGTTTGGCTCAGAGGTTGGGAAAGTCTTATTGGTCACAAGTCACTGCACCGAGTACTCTGTTACTGAGGTTGATTACTTTCATCCATGGATTCATGTTTCATGTATCAAAAAGATTTACATGAGAGATTAGAGAGGAAAAAAAAGTGAGTGGAAATGAAATTATAGTGATTTCATTACCTTCTCATAGTACAAGCAAAAGGAGACATGTAAAACAGTAAAACATATGATCAGTAAACCCTGTCTACACTACTTCACCACAGTGAGTTTTGAGAATTACAGAACTCAGGTTCTTAACAACTTTATTTCACTTTCCATGCCTCCATTTTTAAGTTCTGTTGGAAATGAGATGAATTCAATGACATGAGATGAAACAAGTGCAAAAACCCTTGTGGCATCTGAATTTCAGAGCTGGAGCCTTTGCCTGTGAGTTTGATGCTATCCCACAGTACTCGAACAAATGACATGGGTTTTGTGTGGTACTGCTCCTGTCCAAATGCCTATCATACATTATCACCTAGAACATGAGGGCACATGAACACCTTTCCCTCCTACCAAGTAACAAGTTTTCATGTACCATCTGAGTGGCCCAGAACTTTAATATGCAACTCTAAAGGCATGGTTTGGGGTGTTGGCTATGTAAGTAGCTAGCTGCATATTCCACTCCTACCATATGCAGCCAACTTCAGAAGTTCTCTTAATGATTACTGTAGCAAATTAAAGACAATTCCAGCATTTTGACCTATGTCCCCCTGATGCCAGCTGGCATAAATCTGATAAACACACAGAAAAGAGTCTTCACAAGCACTCACTTTTCTCAGTGAGCATGAACTGGATGAAAACAATATCCAAGTTACCTGGATTCCCCTGAACAAGATTCAGGACAAGCTAGGAAGCAGTCATGGTCTGACAAACTCTGAGGATGATGTAATCTGGTTTGCCTACCTCATGCATTCCTCCTAAACACATATTTTTCCAGTGACCCAGATGTATTGCAATAGGAAACAGGGTTAGCTCAAAGAGCTTGCCAAATGAGAGCAACTGCTCGAGGATCAACTGGGAGGATCAAGGCTTATCTTTCCATTACAGGAAACCTCACCACATATTCCACAAGTGACTTGTTTCCATACTGCTGTCTCAAAACTGCTGGTCTGGGAATACACCAAGGTAACCTAACTATCATGAGCATCCCTGGAATGACTTACAGAGAAAAGTCCAGAGGAGACTGCAGCATATAAACTACAGAAAGCAAACACAAGATATCATTAAATAACTAACTTCTCCTTACAGACCTTGGGATTTAATAGCTTATTAGCTTTCCTCTGCAGGGCAAATGTTCATCCATGTTCCCCTGTGCTTGCTGTTAAGGTTATGACCATGTACTGATTTAAATAAAAAAAGGGGGACGGCAGAAAGTCAGATCCTAAAACACAAGATCAATGTATTTCATCCGGATTTTGCTTTAGCAATGTGGCTCATGTACCAGCAAATGCATCAAATGTTAAAGCTGCTTTTTGTCACTTATCCTCACTTGATAAACACTGCTCAGAAATGAGCCACAGCAAAATAAACTACAGCTTTGCCATACAACCACTCTGTGCCTTTCAAGAACTGACAATTCAGGCACCACTTCACTTTGATGGGAAATACTTCATACAAGCTAAATACTAATACAACCTGTGCCATAATAAGAGGCATCAGAAAGACAAAAGATTATAGCAACTTATTTTTTCTTCCCTTGTGCCAGAAATTGGAGAGAAAACAGGATGAAAGTACAACTGCTCTAGCACATGAGCACTACACATAATGCAGCTGAGGACTAAATGAAATTGCAAGCATTGCCTTACTGACACGGGAAAGGCATCATAGAGGTCTCAAACTCTGCTTTTAAAAAAACCACTCCTCTCTTTCAGACTACACAAATAACCTGTTTTAAGCACCATCCAGTGGAGCTTAGCTGAAGCCAATACAGAGCAACAGCTATCCAATTCAGAGTCACTTTTCTAGATCGTTCCTTGCAGGGAACGCTCAAATATTCCTTCTTTATGATCCTCCCCTACCTCAATAAACCCAAAATTAATCCTGAATGGTTTCTACCAGCTTTTCTTAGCATTTTTTCATGTATCACACACACTACATTTACAATGTGCGTGTATAAAACTGCAGTCAACATCAGTCAGTCACAGACCAACTATTTCCTCTATTTACCACCAACATGACGACAGAAGCCAGAGAGGTCACACATGCCAAACTGAGAGCAAAAGGAAAAATCATGCTCTGAAGAACATGTCAGCACCTACTAAGATGGCAGAAGTACTCCTGAACCGTCAAGGCCTACCCAGATCTAGGAAAAATTTCTCTGAGCACCAAGTAATAGGATTAAAAGGAAAACAGGAAACTATTTTCTGGATGCTCTTTCTTCCAGGATTACTAAATTTACAGGTCAGAATTTGGAAAAAGTGATGAACATGCTCATTTCAGTCTTCCTCTCTTAGCAGATCAGTAGCAATAAGGTAGTGGTTCTGGTGTGGGTTTTGGGTGGGTTTTTGCTAGTTCTCCAATGGAGCCCATATGATCAGCTGTATGAGAGCAACTGAGAGAAGATGAATGACACAGGATTTTTCTTACACTAACTTTGCCTTTGAGGAAATAAATGTGGAATTGCACTCTGATGAAACTCACTTTACTTGCCTGTTCAACCTAAA